AATGGCTTCACATCTCAGTAATAATCACGGCAGTATAACATTAAGTGATAACCATTCCCAGGGGTAACCATCATTGGTGACATTGAGAACCATAACTGGGACATTTTCCCACAGTTGCAATGCGGCTAAGGATGATGAGATAGCTGGTGTAGCTCAAAGTAAAATTTACTATCGTACAATTGCTCTGACTATAATTTTAATGTTTTGTAATGAGGTGTTATGACATGAAATCACTCATGATAATCCTTTGTGGCAAATCTGTCACTACTCATATTGCACTGTGTTTAGGTGTGGTTGCCCTACGTGATTCATTGGACTTGGGTGGTGTCATTTAGCGCAGTGCATTTTGGGAAATCTCTTGTATGATAACAGCATATTTAATTTTGTCTGAAATGATGCCCTCCTCCCTCACTCATCAAATAATTATTTGGGTATATGACATCACAAATGAAAGCTTTACATGGAATGCAGTAGTATAAATTATATACTAAATTACTGAAGCTAAAATTGACAAAAATGACTAAAATCGGTTCGGATCATTGTACCAAATTTTAAGGAATATAAAAACATAATTCTAGGTCCATGGCAGGCTAAAGTTTTGTAATATTTATCTAAATTGTTTGTAGGCGGAATTGTGATTATTCTTTACTTTCAAAAATATGCATTCATACCCCCAAATCTTGATTTCATTTAAAATATTTTATAACGTCTAAAAGAATGTAAAAAAATATGTACAACAATCTTCAAGCTAATTTTTTCCTAATTTATTTTGATTTTAATTGAAAAAACAAACTTCATTTTCATAAACCTAAATCTAGTCTTATGACACTTGTATGTTCAACACAGAGTGCGCTCTTATAATTATAAAAAATGTATGGTTGTGGTCACATTTTTAAAGAAAGAGCACATTTCATCATTGCATATATTCATATGATGTTGGCGGCGACAGGATGTGTGTTTTATAGGGTGCATATAGCTAAGGTGATTGTCAGACCCGCTGCCATAATTCTGATCCACTTTTGTGTGCACAACTGGATTATGTGATTGTATTTATGACAACTGGCAATGTAATAGTTCATCAAAATGTGGTCTACATAATCCTGGGTGAGGGTCTTGGTTGAGGAGTGGTGATAATCTCGCCGTGTCGTGTTCCTGTTTGTTGCAGCTAATGATTTTTTCATTAATGAGAGACCAGATATGGTTTTACTGCGCATAATTCTACAAAATTCATAACTCTACACTACAAACTTTAAAGCAGCTGGCCTGAAAGTTGATATAAACCCTTATCCTGCCAGCCCATGTACTTTTACATTGACTTGACAAGATAAAGGTTAAAGCAGTCAGTGTATAAGAAGCTAACACCACTAGACATCAGAGATTTGTGTCGGGTTATGCCCTCACAACACTAATTATTTAGTGGGTTTTAATTTTGTTGAAACAAATCCACATGAACATGTAAACAAACAATCACACTTTTATTGTCAAATTGTTGTATCTAAAACTAAGTGAATATGCTCAAAATACTGATATTAATTGCCAGTGTAAATAAGAATACACAGTGGCTGCTTCAATTTAATAAAGGAATAACCACACCTCAGATGACAGTATATCACAAGAAGTGTTTATATGGAGTGAACTGGCTAAAATTGAGTGGTACACTTGCTCTGCAGGTGGTTATTAGTCCCTGACTGGACTGGCACCTCAGGCATGGATTATTTGCATTCTGTTTGATTATTACAGTATCTCAGATGTTTACGAACCAATTTTCCCCAAACTTGGTGCATGGCAGTTGCACAATGGTATAAATATGCACATAATATTTTGTTCTCTTCAGATACAAAATGGTGCCCGTATTTTTCCTCCAAAATAGACCAAAAACATACATTTTATTTTAAGTTGTGCTGGTCATTTTTTTTACAAACATAGAATATGGGTATCAATTGTTAGCATACTGAGGCACATGACTAGTGGCCACTTTTTTCGTCAAAAATACATATTTTTGTCCATTTTTGCTCATGTGAATATGTACAATTACTAAGTTTATTCATACACAGGCAGTATATTATCTCAGGAAGATTTTTGCTTAATACTCCAATTCCTACTTCCCATTTAATTTCATTTTGTATTAAACCATTTAATCATCAATCTATAGCAGTAATTAGTTAGGTCTAGTCTTTCATAGAGTACCTCGTCGTTAATTTGCTAGTGTCTCATCAATTAGTAATCATTATTTCTACTCATTATGCTCATCATTTTATGTATTCATATTTTGTTTTGCATTATTAATCAGTGTAGAGGTACAATATTATGATCATTGACGACTTCACCTTTTTTCTGTCATGAAATAATTTAATTAGTTTAACAATTAATTTTGTGAATTTCCTGTGTGCTAGGATTTTTCCATAAGGCCAAAAAGATCATATTACCTATTTTCAAAATGTTGTGCACTGGCGAAGTGCGCCACCTATGGCAGAATAGAGAGATGTTGTGTGTATTTAAATCAACCTTTATTACATGTTTTTAAATCTTTGTTTATAAAATGTTAAACTTTAGACATAAATCTTAGTACCAAGAAAAAAAATATTAATTTGCAAGAAGTAAAATCTTTTTTTCAGCTCTTATATTCAATGGCAAAAGCATTCCCATGATGCACCACATATATGTGAAGTAGCAATAATTAACCTAATTAATCAACCTGTCGTTTATTTGTTGACAGACACAGTTTTACATCTTTGTTCTTTTTTTCCCAGCCTAGATACAGGTTTATCAGATAATCTTCACTGATGATGTCATAAAATCTACTGGTATATTGAAAATACTTTATATAATAGCAGGGTTCTCCACGGTTTGAAAATTAAACAGGGTGCACCAATGTAAAAGTGTAGTGGGCGTGGCACATTTGTAGCGTGCATCATTGGCATGGACGTTGAAAAATGGAAACCAAAAATCTATTAATCTAAAATTACATATGCATAATATATATATTTATTATTACAAAATAGTTTCCATAAATGAATGAGTATTTCGAAGAGCTATTATTAAGTAAACGTCACCACATACAATTAGCTGATTTTAGCTCCACGATTCATCACGCGGCTACGTCAGTTGTTGTTTACCAATAATGATCACGTCCAGAAT